AACTTCCAAGAGAAGTGGTGCTGGCTCCTACCCTGGGGGTCTTTAAGACAAGGCTAGACAATCACCTTGCTGGGGTTGTTTGAACCCAGTACTTTTTTCTGCCATGGCAGGGGATCAGACTTGATGATCTGCTCAGGTCCCTTCTGACCCGACCAACTATGAAGAACCATGTGAGTGGCAGCAACGGCCTCTCCACCTGCAAATCGCCCATCTGCTTTTATTCTCCTGGGCGCAGAATTGGAGCTGAGGCCCCGTTATGGGCCAGAGTTGAAGCGGCTGCTCTCAGACATCCAGAGAGCTGTTACTAGAGTGAGCATTGCATTAGCAAATGCAAGTGACTCATCATGGACAGACCAGCCCAGGTTCTGCAACTCCACGGAGCCTGGTATTGTGACCATGCCCACCAAACCCTCTCTATATACAGGATACACTGATGCTATCCTGGTCTAAATTTGCCTGTTGCCAGTTCTGGCTCTCTCTTCCAACACTTAAGATCCTGTCAGGATGCATGAATGTCAGCCTGGGCTGTTGCAACAAGATGGGCATGGCTGTTTCCATCACACAACCCTCCCCATGGCTGCAGAGTGCAGGCAAGACCTCAAGATGACCATGCATATTTGCTGATTTGGAAGTAAGTCTCTGGCTCTTGGAACTGCTATTCTTATGATCTGCTCAGTCTATTTATGCAAGCTAGCCATTTGCAATGGTGTGAGCAGTGTCACCACAGCCTCCCCATGCTCTCCAAGAACACAGATGTGGCCTTATTAAAATGCCACACATCATAGTGGCTTGTACCACACACAAGTGTATGATCTGAGGCACACTGTTTACCAACACATACAAGGGATGGGAAATACAAGTGAGTGCGACTTCTCAGTGGCAGACCAATGACTCCAGTAACCATTCACCTGGTAACATAATCCAGAGGGGGGATAGATGTAGCAGTGAAAGGCAGATTTGACTGTCAGAGCTCTCTAAAATACATCTCCCCCACAGAGTCTGCACGCACAGACGGTAGTAGTGGCGAGTGGCGAGTACCTGACTACACCATGCAGTCTGTGCCCTCTGCAGTCTCTCATGTTGGCACATGGAAGGCTAGTTAGTCTCTCCTCAAGTGTCAGAAATTATTCTGTCTACAGATCTGCCACAGGTCAAAATCAAACACGCTTCTGCCCTGCTACTTCAAGACAGGGGAAGAGGAAATGAGCTGAAAGTGCAAGCCACACACCCAACAATATCACAGACCCCAAGCATTCAGAAATCATGCGTTGGTTCCCCTGACCCCCCAACATCAGGAAGTTCACTTAACAAGCATGAGCTACAGACATTTGGGAGTGCTTTTATTTGCCTTCTGGTTTCTGACCCTTCAGGATACACTCAGGTCATGTTTTCAAGCTGATTTCTGCAAGCAAGAGAGCTAGAAACCCAACCCTTTGTCTTCAAGTGAAAGATGAGAATGTCGTGTAATCCCCTAACTCCAGGAGCTGGGGTGGTAAGTAACCCAGCAAGTTTTGTGAAACTCATGATAAAATCGTGCCAGTTGGTAACAATGGTTCCCGAGCTCCGGGGTTACAATGCTGCCTCAAAATTTTACCAGTGTCCCTTTGTTTTCTAACTGGCTGATCCAAAAACCCAGAGCTAAATCCCCAATGCACTTGAAATCCAAATTGTGTGCCTTTTCAGCCTGTTATATCCTACTCCATTTCCCAACGACATTGGGGTGGGATTCTTCCGCAGCTAGTTTATTTATGCAAGCTAATACATTCCTTGAAATTCATTAAAGTTTCATTAAAATGTGCCAATTCTGTGGTGCTCATGTGAACCCCCAACTTCTGTTCGATCTCTTTTTTCAGTTCTGTGGTGCCAAATTACAGTTTGTTGCACAGATTAAACAAAACCTTTGCTCTCTGAGCTGCTTAGCTTCTTCTCAAAACATCCCACCAGTGGAAGAGCCCACAATACATACCCATGTGTCACAATTGGCCTGATTGTGCTACAGGCTCCTTCTTCCAAATATGAAATCAGACAGAGGAGCTCGGGAGAATTTCCAAGTGTGTATTTCGTTTCCAGATGTGGCTATTTGTGTGCAGGATGCAGAAGGGAGGCTGTGACTTTATGCTGTTTGTTTTCCTCTTGCCTTGTTCAGAGTAAGCTTTGGCTTGGGGGAGGAAAGAAGATGCCAAACAATGTGGGCTCCATGCAGACTGGCGCAGTTCCAACACACAGACATGCAGTAGGATACGGGGTAACTACACAACGAGCTCTGAATCTCCTATTTACAACTGGGTACCACTGAGGAATCCAGACAATTATAGCATCGCATTAAGTTCTGTTACCCTGAGGACAGATTCCCAAGGTACTCGAGTAAGTACCAGTCCCTTTGTCCTGGCTCCTAGACAACACTGTTTACCAAACCCACACTCAAAGCCGGGTGGCAGATTTGCTTCTCATCTCCCACCATGCCAGCCACTTTGCTTATCACTTGACCTGTGAATGTACTGAGCAGCTGCAGATAAATAAAGCTGGTGGCCCTCCTTTGCCATACCTGCATCGTTAACATCAAGCCAAGGTGCCTGTGAATACTCACAGAAGAAGTTGGTGCATACAACCAAGGGGAGGAGAGGGTGCCTGGCACTCTTAGAAATCAGGCCAGAGGCTTTGATTCATTGTAGCTGTTTGATTCATTGTATTGGCATAGGCAGCCAGCCAATTCATCACCTCTTTCTGCTGCTGGGTTTATTTTTTTAATCCCCCCATCTTCTTGCGGGCAGCTCAATATATATGGACAGGCCCATCAGAAGTCCCATCTCCACTCCACTGTGGCTCTGAGGGCAGTGCTGGTAAATGGCAGAAAGGCTCAGAGATAGGCTATGACTGGGATGGAAGGGCGGTGGGGAGGGATGAATTTGCAAGCAGCTTCAGACAGCTTCTGGCCAAGTGCTCTGCCAATAACATCATCACACTTGGCAAATATTAAGAAACATCTGTCTGAGCTTTAGACAGTCCGTAAAAGAAAGTGGATTCCTCTCTCAGGTTAATAAACTATTCAATGCAGCCATTGCTGAGGACTGTATTTTGTATAAGCAAGGGAAACAAAGAATTCAGTAGCAATAGCGTGACCATCTCTAGTGCATATCTAGGAGCTCTTCTAAACTCTGCATTGGCTCCAGTGACTCTTCAGGGTCTGGCTGCCTGCAGGAGACTGCTGAAGTCTTGCAGGTCTCAGGCTAGACCCTTCTGTCAGAAACTCTGACTTCCCAGTGACATCAGCTGTGCAATCTCTGTGCTCCACCTGAGTGCACCGATCGAGCTATCAGTGCATCTGTGAAGTAAGCAACTCCTACTAATGCAGCAGCGGGAATGCTGGCTCAGGTATTACACCTCTGTTTAGATTGGCATTACAACATTACAGTACTCCAGAGTCCTCATTCTCCACAGCCCTGTGCCATGCAGCGTCATTTGCACCAGTGTCTTTTGCCCCAGTGTCAAACACCGCTGTTCTGACTCAAGGGCATTTTCCTCTCATTCTCTTGCTGGTGCAAGGGGAAAATCAGGCGGAAGATCTATCAGAGCTGGCCCAGATACAAGCATGTCTGGTGAACAACAGCAACATACTGCAGTCCCATTGTAAAGGGCTTTTCTGCATCTCTTCTACTGGCCAACAAGGGGGCACCAGATGATAAAGCAACGGAAACATCTGACTTGAGCATGCGGCACCCTTACCTCACTGTGTCCTTGGTTATATTTTCTTTGTGGGTTGGTGTCTCGGCTTTAACATTGTTTTAATGCACTTTGCTATGATTTTAAGTAAATACTGTGGGACAACCCTGCTGAGTGAGTGAAAGTCTGAACCCAAGATTAACCAATTTTATTCAGAAAAAACCCTTGGAAAATGTTTTCCTTGTGCTAGTTCCATCTCTCCAGCAATGTAATGTTGGCAGCTCCAGACTACTGCTGCCATGGCTTCTTGTTTTCTTTATTTATGCTGAGGTATTTATTAAAAAAGGAATCTAGGTCAGAAAATAAAAAGTTGCAACTGTTTTCCCTGAATTTGCTCTGGGTATTAACAGCAATGACGTTATGGGATTGTCAATGTGACTGGGACTCAGGCACGATCCACCTTGCGTTATGTAATAGGAAGTTCCTGGGATCTGATTTCCTTTGGATCAGCGAGGCCAGGAGCAGACTCAAGGCTGGCTGTAGCTGGCTGCATCATCTTGGAGGGCAGGCTAAGGAAAGAGTTATCTTTTGGCCTGATCATTATTCTGCTCAATGACTCTGGAGCATTTACTTGGCACCCATCTTGCCCTTGCATCAGCCATATGGAGTGTAAGACTCTCTCACAAGTCTTTCCACAG